TTTCAGGTGTACATCATTGTACTTCTATTTCTGCATAGATTACATCATGTTCACCACCAAAATACTAATTACAACCCATCACCACACACATGTACCCAATTATCCCTTTCACCCTCCTCCCTCCCCCCTTCCCCTCTGGTAACCACCAATCCAATCTCTGTCCCTATGTGTTTGTTTATTGTTAGGATTCATTTTAAAAGGATGTATTTTTTTTAATGAAGAAAAGTCAATAACCAAGCATATATTTTAAAAAGGAATTTATGAACCTGTGATCTTTGCCAATAAAATTAAGAAAAAGCAAAGGTTTGGTGAAAATGCTAAGGCAACAGGGAGGACATTTTAAATAATAGTTTGCACTGTAAAGAAGGGATATACTCATTGCGGATTGTGTAATCACTAATTGATAATCGAGTTAAAAACAGAGCTATACAACTTCTATTTTGCTTTCATGATCTCTATTGAGGAGAATTATTTTCACAGTGGAAAGACTAAGGAAGAGCAGGTGAAGAGGAGATTGGCAAACCAAGATGAGATTGGTAAGCCAAGAGAGTCACTAAACTGCCTTAACTAGTTAGGTTTCCAAATCAAGATAATTATATCCCATGGTACCAAAAGATCTTGCAAAAGTATGATTAGGGTACTGACAAAGGTAATCTATTATGAATATTGGAGAATAGGAGAAGTTATAGGATATTGGAGATGAATGAACCAACTATCTCATTTTTCAAAAAGACTTTCCAAGCCTCAGTTTTTCTCATCTTTGAAATGGGAATAGTAATGCTACCTGTTGCAATTTGAGTTCTCCAGAGAGAAGACTGAGTTAGTTTGATGTTCAGGAGTTTATTAGGGGTCAATACCTGTAGAATGGAAGGGGGAAGAAGCAGAATTGGGCATAGAGAGTAGAGCTGTGTTGCAGGCCTGACAGCCTCAACTGACCCCACCTGTAGCTGTGGAGCTAAAATGGCATGTCAGAGTTAACATGGGAAGGACCAAAATCCCCAGACCTTTATCTTTTGCTTTTGATCTGTAATTGGAGGTGGGCCACTTTCAGAAGAACTTGACCTTGGGTAAGGCAGCTCTCTGTAACTGGAGCAATTCCTGAAGGATTGATGAGGAATCTGGACAGTATATCTTCACGTCCACCCCTTTGCAAAGTTTTTGCAAATTTTAGGACTAATATGTGTGAAGTACCTATCACAGATCTTGATACAGACTAGATCTTCAATAATGGGTAGCTTTTATTCTTTTATTTGTCCTGTTCTACTGAGAATTTTGATTACTTCAGAGAAGATAGATGTATACACATAAGATTTGTAAAAACCAAAAAGCTGGTGGGGGGGGGCCAGCCCAGTGGCACAGTGGTTGAGTTTGCACACGTCGCTTTGGCAGTCCAGGGTTCGCAGGTTTGGATCCCAGGTGTGGACCTATGCACCGCTCATCAGACCATGCTGTGGTGGCGTCACACATACAAAATAGAGGAAGATGGGCACAGATTAATCTTCCTCAGCAAAAAGAGGAAGGTTGGCAATGGATGTTAGCTCAGGGGCCGATCTTCCTCACCAAAAAAAAAAAAAAAAAGCTGGCAATGATATTTAATCTTTTGGAAAAAGAGAACGAAATTTCAAAGTGCCCTTAATATCTGAATGGATGAACTACTGAGCAGAATCTCATGAAATGATACTCAGCAGAAGTAGATAAAGTCTGCTGTTCTTAGATTATTAAAGGAAGAAAAAGAGGGAGGGATAAAATCGTTTGAGAGTACAGAAAAATATTTATTGCAAAAATGTTCATAATGGCATTAGTAATAATAGCTCAAATCAGAAGTGACTTAAATGTCCAACACAGAAGAGTTAAATAAATTATGGCGAATCTGTATAGCGGACTATAATGCCATCACAAAAATGGATTTTGAGGAATATTTAATTTCATAGGGAAATATCCCTGATAGAATGTTTATTAATAAGCCAAAATATATACTTAAAGAGTATTATCCTAATTGTATAAAAAATATTTGTGTGCATATGCATGGAGAAAAGTCTGGGGAAATATATTAACTTGTTAACATGAATGTTGGGTTGCAGGTGACTTTAAATTTTCTTTATATTTTTTCCTCATTCCCAAATCTCTACAATAAATATATGTAACTTAATTATTTTTTTTACGTGTTTGTTTTTAAGCATCTATAAATGCAGGACTGAAGGAACCTAGCTGAAGAGTGAAGAAGACCCAAAAAGTTTTAGAGATATATTAGTTCTTATTTGGCTTATAATTAATGTGGCTGTACCCAAAGTGCAATTTTAGTCTTTATTAACAAAAGTACAGTCCAAAATGAAGAAGGCAGTAGTTCACTTATGCCCAATTCTAGGCACTGTACCTTTGGGTAAACTTGAGTTATTCAAGTGAACAACTGTCTTACACCATTTATCGTGTAAGGAATTGATCATTTTTTTTCTAGAAAAGACTTGGGGGGATATTTAAAGTGGTGTCAAGTGGAAGAGAAATTAGATTTATTATGTATTCCTTTAAAGAAAAGATCTAGATCTAGGTTTAATGGAAGAAAGATAAAGGGAAACAAATTTTAGTTAAGAAAGACATTTCTAATAATTAGACCCCTCCCCGATTAATAGCCTGACTTTGGTAAAAGTAAAATATTCCAATACTAAAAATATTACTATAAAGTAGGATTTTCAGACTTTCCCACGTAATTCTAGGTTCCTATAGATAATTGAACTATAATTTAAAAATGTTCACTAAAGTGTTTCAAATACCAAATTTTAACACTGGAAATCAATAACATTTTCCTGATGTACTGCTTAGTTAACTTGTTTTGGTGCAGACATCTAAATTGAGTTTTTGCCTACTTGCTTGCTTTTTCTGAGTTCAAGGCCAGTTATTTACCACTTGTATTTGTGTGTCTATGTGAATCAGGATTTTTATTGATACTGTGTAAACAAAACAAAATTCAGAAATAAATTGGATACTGAGACTGATATAAGACTATAATTATTATTTATACCCTCTGATTTCAAATTTTTATCATCACCAAAACAGATTCATTGTTTTCACTGATTGATTTATTCAAACATAATACTGCTTTTATCTGTTTTATATAGGGGAATCTTACCAGAAGTTGTTTGAAAAAAGTATTCCACTGCTTAAATATGTTTGAAAAGGTCTGCTATTTAGGATGGTCAATTATATCTATAGAACATATTTTGAGTCTGCCTACTTCTCTTTATTTCTCTTGCCTTAGTGTAAGCCACTGTCATCTGACATCCAAACAACCTCAGAAACTTTCTAATTGGTCTCACAATTCCCACTTTGGGTCCTATAATCCATTCTTTACAAAGCAGCTGGAGTGATCTTAAAAAATATAAATCAAGTAATATCATGTCCTTACTTGGAACCTTCAGTCATTCCTCTTACTCTCATCTCCAACATCGTTTCATACCCTTCCATTCTTTTTTACCCTGTAAATGTACAAAGCTCTTTGCTAGCTCAGGACCTTTCACTTCTTCCTCTATTAGAAGTGGGAATACTCTTCATCCCGTTCTTCACCTTGGTAACTCCTCATCCTTCATGTTTCAGTTTCTGTCCTCTTTAGAGTAGACGGTGGAAATTATACTGTCTTTAATCACTCTGGTTTGAAATAGACATGTGACTCGACCTTATATTTTTCTCAGTGTATCTGAGACATTCAGAATTGGAGCAGGGAGAGGAGTATTGTTTCATCTAGCACAGTGTCCTATGGCACAGTAAGATTTTAGTCAGTGTTTTTGAAGGGATGTGTGTGTGCATGCTTCTGTTTCAAAGCTAGGAAGAAGATGGGGTGGGGGCCTGTTATAAGAACAAAGGTATCTTCTTTCCACTTAACACCTAATGAAAAGTAGACAGTATATTTAGTAAGTTTTGGTTGTTTATAAATATTTCACAAACTTAAGAAAACTAGGCTGAAAGAGGTTAAATGGCTTGACCAAGGTCATACTGCTATTAAATGTTAGTACTAGACTCAATTCTGTTAAATCCTACTGCTCTACTATACTTAATTTGGCACTTAGGAAAGAAAATACTATTAGTGCAGAAGGTATAATCATAGAGAAAGCCATTCTTCATCTTACAGAGTCTGTTCCTCTTAACACTTGCATATACCCAATTCCAGCTTTCTAGTAAAAGCCAAATGGAAAAATTGGCTTCTCCTTAGCTGAGATAAGGGTATGTCCCTGAATTTTCCTAACAAATCTCTTGATACAGTAAGAATAAAATTGCAAACAGGGTAGGTAGATTTTATTCTATTCTTTCTCATTAACTTGCTGTCTCAGTTAAGATTGTGTTCAACATTAAATACCAGAAAATCCCAACAGAAGCTTAAAAAAACGGGAGAAGGGTAATTTTTTCACACAAGTCCAGAATTGGCAGACCAGAACTGGATTTGGCTTCTTCCCCATCCATAGTCGGTTGGCTTTTACCCTCCTGCTTCTTACCACATGGACAAACATGTAAAAGGGCAAAGGGATATATACACCATCTTTGCTAGGTGGTGCTTCCAAGAAAGTTTTTACAGTAATCAGACTTCTTACGTCTTATTGGCGAGAACTGTATCATATGGCCCCTTGCAGCTAAAACATGACTAGGGAGACAGTGAATAGTGTCTGCATCCTATACTCCCTTCATTTAATGTCTTTTTTTGTTTGTTTTGTGAGGAAGATTAGCCTTGAGCTAACATCCAATGCCACTCCTCCTCTTTGTGCTGTGGAAGACTGGCCCTGGGCTAACATCCTTGCCCATCTTCCTCTACTGTATATGGAACGCCGCTGCAGCGTGGCTCGACAAGCAGTGCGTTGTTGTGCGCCTGCAATCTGAAGTTTCGAACCCCGAGCCACCCAGGCAGAGCACGCACACTTAACTGCTCTGCCACCGGGCTGGCGGCCCCCATTTAATGTCTTTTTAGCATGATAGTCCAAGTACCCGATATCATAATAATACTGCATTGTACCTTTTAGATTTACATTGGTGCAGAAGCATACAGTGGAATTTAACCAAGTGGCAATGGCTAATTCAGATGGATCCGAAGCTATGCTGAACAGAGTGATGACAAAAGATAATATTGGCGTTGCTGTGGTATTAGAGGTCCACAAAGAACTATTTGGAGCAGGTGAGTGCAGTTTAAAATATTCTTACTAAAAATAAACACCATCCAAAGTTTTCCTGTGTCAAACAAGTGCAGAATATTTATTGCATGGTTATTTTCTTGTCTTTGAGGAAAGTTAAGAGAGATGGGCATGAAAATAGCACTAATTGTGTAACGCATCATGTTTTTTTGGAATGTTACCAGTTAATCTGTAAAAAGGAGAATCTTTAATATGCCATTAATTCCAAAAGGTTATTTGAAGTAGGAAATGTGGTAGTTAGGCTGAATTTGGCAATTATGATGAGTTGGTTCTCTTTTTAGCCGTATTTTTTAGCTTCTTGAGTGTGAGATCTTTTGTCTTTAAGGTTTAGTACTTGGCACGTTTTCTCTAATTTCTTTGTTATATCTCAGTCATTGTCAGGATAAGAGCAGATCTTTTGTCTACCTGGTACTTTTCTTTTGCATTTTAGATTATTTATAGCTTCCTTCAAAGTCAGAAACTCATTATGTACTTTGCATATCCAGACCTTTTTCCCCCCTTTCAGCTGCTGCCTTTGAGCATTTGATTGTTCACTTAACTCTGTTTTAGGCAAGAGCAAGGAACCGCATCAGGGCTTTTATTTTTAAATTTTTTTTCTGTGCTTACTAGAAGAAAAAAAGATTTTGCCTTGAGAATTGATTTGAATTATTCAGACCATGCTTATCTGTCAGACCTCCTTTTCTCATTGTTCTTCATTTTATCCATCATTAAGGCAATCAGTCTTTGATATGAGATTTTAAATTCTTTCTTCTTTTTTAGCCTCTTCAGTTTTACCTATTTTTATGTTCTTTCCAGTCTTTCTCCTCAAAAGTTTGGTACCTTTTTTTCTGATAATGTGAAAATTGAATTTCTGTTAGTTTTACTCTTCTTTTAATTTGCAGAAAAGTAATTATAAATTATACAGTAGACACTCTCAGATTCAGAAATATGTCTGTCTTGTACTTCTATACTATAATACTATAATATTATAGAAGGTGCCTATGGCCACTTTGAAGGGACAAATTTTTAGTATTTAATACGGTGAACATTTAATCTACAGCCATAAGTGGCACTATAAAACTTTTAGGAAAAGAAGAGAGCTTAGAGAATTTTGGCTGCAATTTTTTATTTTATAATTAAATTACTTTAAAAATGACTGTTTCTGTCACGTATAACAGATACTTCAGTTACTTGTTTACTCAACATCGAAGATAATTATAGCTTGGTAAGACAGAAGGAGACTTAACTTTACCAAAATAGTAGACTTAGAAAATTAGGTATTTTTCTGCAGAGTTTATATTTTCAGTAGAAAAATTTAAGACATTTCTATAGAAATGTCAATAGAAAAATTAATTTTGTATGTTCATCAATATTCCAACAGTACAAAATATGTAAAGTAACAAGTGAGAGGCCCCCCATCTCACTCATACTCTAGGAGTAGCTCTTGTTCATTTCTTTACACATTATTAACTTATAGAATATATGTATATAGTTTTATTTAAATGGCATCCTTCTGTGCATTTTGAGCTTTGTGCCTTGAATATTTTATGGACATCTTTCTCTGTCAGTACATGTTAACTAAGTTTAACAATTTTTAATGTATTATACTGTCTGCCATTTTGAATGTACTGTGTTAATATTTATTTTGACAGAATTTAAAAAACATAATTTTAGGGGTAAAAAGAACCTTAGAGATTTTCTAGTTGACTATCTCATTGTCCAAATGAACCTGAGCACCAAAAAAGTTAAGTGACTGACTCAAGACCACACAAAATAATTAGTAATAAAGCCAGGTCTAAAACCAAGTGTCCAGACTTTGAAAGCACACTACTCCCTAATTATCATTTTTAAAATTACTTTATTTGGGTATATGGTATGAATTTATTTTGATAGGAAATTCACTATCTCATTCTATTTTGTATGAGTTAATATAATATTACTGCCTTTTATTACGGACCTATCACTGATGTGCTTAGGAGTTGTAAGGTTGAAAGAGTACTGGGCAATGGGAAGAACTTAAATTAAGGTTTAGGTAACTCAAATAACTGAGAACCTGCCTCACTGGGTTTTTGTGGTATTTAAATGACAGAAATATTTAAAGTGCTTGTTTACACTAAGAACTCAGCAAATCAAGGTACTATAATCAAATGTTGATTATATCATGGTATAATTCTTAACTTGGGCATATAGAGTAGGAGTCAGCAAACTTTTTCTCTAAAGGGCCAGATGGTTAATATTTTAGGCCCTGTGGGCCACATATGGTCTCTGTCCCAGCCTTGAAAAAATTTTATGTAGAAATCTTCAAAAACGTAAAACCAGCCGTAGCTCATACAGGCTGTACAAAAACAGGTGGTGGGCCAGATTTAGCTCATGGCTGCAGTTTGTCAACCCCAATCTAGAGGAGTATTTCCCATTTTTGGATTACCAGAATCTCAGCACCTTAGCTTCTAAGAACTACTAAGAGATAAATGGGAAGATATAAATTAATGGAAAAGAGTAGAGAAGTGGCTATGGGTTTTTGGGAGAAAACCTTAAGTTACTGCTTTTTTTGATACATAAAGCATAACTGTATCCTCCTCTTTCTAATGTTTAAATTTAGGTATGAAGCCTATTCATGCTGCAGACAAACAGCTGCTTATAGTGGCAAATGCCCACATGCATTGGGACCCAGAGTATTCTGATGTGAAACTCATCCAGACCATGATGTTTGTGTCAGAGGTTAAAAACATTCTGGAGAAAGCCTCTAGTAGGCCTGGCAGCCCAACCGCAGATCCTAATTCCATCCCGCTGGTGCTATGTGCAGATCTTAACTCATTGCCAGATTCAGGTATTTATGACATCATTTCCTCATTGCTTTCAATTTTGCTTTTACTTCTAGTTGAAAGGCTAGCTAACTCCTAACTTTTGAGTAGAGAATTTCTCTTCTAAATTACAGAGTGTATCAGTAAGAATCCTAGGGATGGGACATAGGGTAATTGCGAGTTTAGTAAAGAAGCTATTTCCAAACGTGCGTGCAGGGTTAAGGGACACAAAACAATGAATGATGCAGTACTCTGCCACTAGAGGAGTTAGGGACCCTTTACCACCCCTATACCTCAAGAGAAAAGTGGTGGAACCTGTTATCAGAACTTGGAAAAAGTAGTTATAAGGAGAGGGCCATGTAATAGGAGTGAGGCCTTTGAATTAGTGGTGCAATCAATCCCAGGCAAACCAACAAAAAAGGAGCTAGGGGAATATATATCCCTACCTCACTCGCCTCCTGCCCTCTGATCTGCCAGTGCTGCCTATTTGCCAAATCCAACTAGAAGCTTAGAAGAGGAGGGGTTTGCAGCTGATGCAAGTGAAGGTCAGCCTCCTGAGGCACAAAGCGCATTTTAGAAGGGTGATCTGAAGAAGGAACCAGAAAATATTCAGCACAGGTAGCTATCTGGTTTAATAACGTTGGCAACTTTTAAGTGAATTCATTAAATGATATTTGAATGCTGATATCAGGTGCAGAAGAGTGATCAAAATTATCTTAGGATTTCACATTACTTCTTGAGTTCCACTAAACTACTTTATGTCCTGACTTATATTATTTTAGATCTTTGTAAAAACTCAGTTCTGCATTTGAGATATTAAATTTCAAATGTAAAACATAAAGTATTACTCTTTTGTTATTACCAAAACATAGTCTAAATTTTGTGTATTTTCAATAAGCTGTTGTAAATTGTTTAATCACTCAACAATAAATATAAAATAACTCAAATGCCAACATTTGGAATATTCATAAAAGTCACAAAACTAGAAAACATCTTTACTTTTTCTCCTTAGCAAATAAAATGCTGAAATCATCCTTTCACAAACATTTGTCTTCAGCCCGTAGCCCCATTGGCACCTTAACCATGTCCTCCTTTCTTAATCCTTTTTTTTTTTCAGTTGAATTGCTCTCAAGGACAAGTTTCCCCCTATCTCATTTGATTTAAGCCAGTGAGCTGTCATTTGGCAGCATAGCATAGTGAACTGAATCTGGAGCCAGACTGTCAGGGTGGGATCTCAGTTCTACCACTTATAAGCTATGCAATGTATGACTAGGTTTCTGATTTTTAATTAGGGGATAATCATTTTATCCACCTCATAGAGTTGTTTGTGAGGTTTAAGTGTGTAAAGCACTTAGAACAGTGCCTGGCATGTAGTAAATGCTAAATAAATGATAGCTCCTTTTCATATTCACAATACTGATGTTGTACTCATCACACTCATTATATGTTGCCGTCGTCATTCCTTATCACAAATAGAAAGAGATGACCAACGTTGTTCACTAATCATCATCATCATAAGAATGGTTGTGATATTCTTTTCATGTTTACCTATTCAAGGGAAGCAGTGTACTTTTTTGAATGCTTCTACTCTCTTCAGCTTTTTAGACACATCTAATATTTCTGACTAAGTGGTATACTTCTAGCATACGAAAAAACTCACTCTAGCTCAAAATAAAGAATGATGTTGCCTAGCTGAAGCTAGACATTGAAGTGTTGAAGATGCAAAGTCTATTTCTGTTGTAAGTGATTTACTTTTTGTTATGTATGCTATATTTTACCTAATCCCAAAGTTGTTGATTGACTGCATCAAATGGTGAAATACTAAAGAGATTAGTGGTTTGGGATAATATTCTAAAAACTTTTAGGCTCAATATCTTCCTGGTGAATACTACCCTAGGCCCTGGGAATGAATCTTCTTTAGCCTGGAGAACCATTAAGAAAACAGAATATTTCTGGATGATCCTGATACTTGGCTGTGAAATAGGCAAATAGCCTTTCGTTTGATCGAACTGTATGCAATTGCTAATATTTGATTTTTTTTTTTTTAACAACAACAAAAAGACAGTTTCATATGGCTCAACCTAATAAAACCACTCTGGACATGGTGCATCTACCTGGGAATGGATTTTGGCCATGAAGTCCTATGTAAGGTCTAAATGCTAAATAGTAGTGTTTCTTCCTTTTTTATTCTACTAGGTGTTGTGGAATATTTGAGCAATGGAGGAGTAGCTGACAACCATAAAGACTTCAAGGAACTAAGGTACAATGAGTGTCTTATGAACTTCAGCTGCAATGGAAAGAATGGAAGCTCAGAAGGGAGAATCACACATGGCTTCCAACTGAAGAGCGCCTATGAAAATAACTTGATGCCTTACACCAATTACACCTTTGATTTCAAAGTGAGTGACAGCCTCTGGGCTGGTATAGAAATTATTTCAAATACAAACAAGGTATAAATTATTTATGCTTAAATGTATAATCTCCAGGAATTTTTAGATTCTCAAAATGACTACGTATGCACCTAAATGTAGGGAGTTTTGTTAGGTTTTGTGGTGGTTATTGTTGACTTGAGAATTCTTTTTGAACCCTCATTTGTTCAAATTTCAAATTAGTGTTGATGTTAGCAAAAACTTTAAAATGCTTACTATGTGCCAGGCATTGTTTAAAGCACTTTATATTTATTAATATAGTTAATCCTCACCTGTTCATACCATCCCTAACTTTCAGTAAGTATTTAAATAATAAGAACCTGATATAGCTAAACTCACCTTGAATGAATTTATATAGTATTCTCTGAAAATTTTCTTAGTACTTTGCATTGATCCTTATTTATCTTTGAATTTTCCAGGTTTCTTTGGGAGAAGGGGTTAGAGAGGGTTGTACTTAGGCTCTGTTTTACATCCATGTAGTCGTACTAATATATTCCCAAGCAGTGGAACACTCCAGCTTAATAAAAGGAAAAGAAAGATATTTTTGCAAAATAAGAAAAAAAAATTTAGAGGGCCCGTTGTACAAGACCAGTTGTTCTCTAGAAAGATTGATTCTAGCAGTTTTCTATAGGTAATTACTTTCCCTTTGCCAGTTTTCTGATCACTCTATCTACCTGTAGCTCTTCTGTTGTACCTTTCTTTGACTTTTTGGCATTTCAGGCATCTATACTAAAATCTTATACTATCCTGAAAAAATGCAGGTGTTAGTCATTTGGTGGAAGAAGCCTAGAGGGAATTTAATAAAATACCAAAGGAAATTTATGAAATGGGCCTTTCCATATCTCCAATAACGTTTTTCCATTTTCAGTGCTCGTTAGCCTCTTCCAAGAAACAAATAGTAGGAAGAAGAAAGGAAATTTGGGTGCTGATGTTATTAGCTTTTTGTAATCATGAACTGGAAAAAAATTTGCTTAGAAGAAGTTGAATCTAATTTTAGTATGTTTGCTGTTAGAGTAAATAACTCTATAGTGATAGTTGATTTCGTTCATGTCACTTGTATGCAGTGATGTGCTGATAAATATTTAGTAACCACATTTTTGGGAAAAAGAAGCTCTACTTTGTAGTTTTTGCTGATTTCTGTAGAATAAGCACTCCTACTGATTTCAAGCTCTCAACATAATACCATTGAACACATAGTTGGGATGAAGTGCTAAGAAAGCTGGTACTAGCTGACTGGAGCACACCACTGCTCTTGTGTAAGCTTAAAGGAAAATCTCTAGATTTAATGATACACGGTTTACTAGAGGTTAAATCCTATCTTTGTGACTATAGTGATATACAGTCACATCTCTGTATGTGACTACATCGGTGTAGCACAACATCTCTACCAGCACAGCCCATAAAACCTAAAAGCGTTTTATGTAATTAGTGCTTTACTAATATTGAAGGCAATCGATAATAAAGGATAGGTAACATCAAATATTAAAATGTCGTGTGACCAGCATTAAATACAGATCTAAATACAATATCCTGCCATTGCATCAATGGTGGTGGTTAAATTTTGTTTACTTGCCTTAGCATTTGTTTACTTTCTTGGTCCTTGAATAACTTAGAAATGTAGAAAAGTGGTATTTAGAACTCAGATTCATTTAATCGATATTGATTTGGAGGGAACTGAAGGATAAGCAATTAGGAGAATTACTTGCAGACCAGGTGTCTTAGTGAGTGCAGGCTGCTATAACAGAATGCCATAGATTGTGTGGCTTATAAACGACAGAAATTTGTTTCTCACAGTTCGGGAGGCTGGAAGTCCAAGATCAGGGTGCCAGCATGGTCGGGTTCTGATGAGAGCCCTCCTCCAGGTTGCAGACAGCTGGTTTCTCTTTGTATCCTCACATGGCAGAGAAGGCAAGTTTGCTTTCTGGGGTCTCTTTTTCAAGAGTGCTAATCCCATTCATGAGGGCTTCACCTTCATGAGCCAATCACCTCCCAAAGGCCCCAATTCCTGATACCATTGCATTAGGGGTTAGGATTTCAACATATGAATTTTGGGGATATACATTCAGTCCATATCACCAGATAAGTTGAAGAAACAGCTTAATTCAAACACTTTCTCCTGCTTCTGCTTCCCCCCACCTCCTCAATCTAAGGATGTGCTTGAACCATTTAATGAAAAGAGGAGGGACAGTTTTCCTATTATGTCAAGTAGTAAATCTTTCTGTTCTACATTATGAAATTTATATTATATAGTTTTCTCACATATAGAAAACAAAGCTTAGCGTAATGCTAGCTCAAACTATTTTCACTTTTTTCTCAAATACAGTTCTATAGACATATAGACTGTAGTCTTTACTAATATAAAAACTATTTCCAACATTATAGTCTTTTTAAAAAGAAACAGTTTGAATCAAAAAAGGTTAAGAATCATTAGCCTGTAACCTCCTTTGTGAATATGATACAATGTACAAATATACATACATATGTACACATATTTGGGTGAGCTCACAGACAGGACCTTGCTAAGGTTTTTGATAAGTTTTTTTACTCTGGGTGTTTGGAACCAAGAAAATAGTTACAAGTGATGCTTTCAGTTAAATACGTGTTGCTTTCTGGAGTGTTTAACATCTTTCTTGGGGCCTATGTGTGCAAAGATTCTATAACTCTAGCAGCTGATATGCATAATGACATTCTAACGAAGTGATAAGATATAGGAGGTTTTATTGAACCTAAGTAATTGAGAATATTTCATTTGTATTTTGTTTACTTTATAGTTGAAACAAAAGGTGATCTCACAAAGGAAAGTAAACTACTCTGACCCTTGTTAACCTTTTTCCTAAAAACTAGGCATTAGCCAAAATGAAGGGATAATACCTTGTACTAATATCATTTCTTGACTGTTTGGACTTGGAGTATTAATGGCAGAAAGTCCTCCCCTGAATTTAAGTAGCTACCTTAATTTGTGGTAAAGTAAAGGTATCTAATGTTGAATAAGGCCTTTTTGTCATTAAAATTTTTTTTTTAAAGTAGCCCATTTCTCTGTAATACCATTTAAAATAGTAACTGGAACTCATTATGTATAGTATTTGTAAACAGATACTTCCAGGTCTAAAAATACCTCTCCATACTTGGGCTCAGGCTCTCTTGATGTGAATAGGAAGAAATTTGACTTTACTCTCTTGCATGCACAGCCTGGGGCAACAAAAGCACACTAGTTTTGAAACTTACTGATTCATCAGGTTCTGAGAGATACAAGTGATACATATATGGGTCCTTCCCCAACGTTTTTTGCTAAGGTATCATTATACAGCAAGGAATCCAGAATTTACAGTATACCAGGGTTTGTGAAAATGAGTATTCCAAATTAAAGAATAGATTGGAACAATTAACTATATTTTGTAGTATTTTGTATGTACAGTAATCTCCCCTTATTTGCGGGGCATATGTTCTAAGACCCCCAGTGGATGCCTGAAACCACGGATAGTACCCAACCCTATACCAAACCTGATACTATGACAGTCGATCTGATAAGCGAGACAGCTAAGTGACCAACGGGCGGGTAGCATATAAAGTGTGGATCCACTGGACAGAGGGATGATTCACCTCCCAGGTGGGTTGGAGCAGCATGGTGTGAGATTTCAGCATGCTACTCAGAACAGCATGCAATTTAAAACTTATAAATTGTTTATGTCTGGAATTTTCCATTTAACATTTGTGGGCACAGTTGACCATAGATAGCTGTAACCAAGCAAAGTAAAACCGTGGATAAGAGGGGATTACTGTATGTAGCAAATCTGGGAAAGCTGAACTAGAATTAGCAAAACTGAAAACATGCTTTACCATGGCTTTGTTCAGATGTGTTTGGATAGCTTAATGGGCAAATAATTGAAAATAATGCCAATTACCATTAAAAGAATTAATTTGTCATACTTTTTTATTAACTGTTATGTATTTATATAAATATCCTTATTTTCTGCTTATTGTAAGTGATAGAGTTAGTGCAGTTTCCATAATGTATATACTGATATATTAGATTTCACTAACACAAGCAAACCAATTCTAAAGATGCCTAGGCATAATTTGGTTTGCTTACCACTTATGCACAAATGCAAGGCTTTATGATTCCAATCCAGTACTGTGTTTCCCTATTGAGCCGCCTTTATTTCCTGTAATACCCATTGAAGACTTGAACCTTATTTGACCCACTGTCAACACAACAGGTACCAGAAGTACAGGTTCCTCAGTTATTTGGCTTTAATGAATTACGGATTGTTCTTTATATATCTTGAGTTTTTCTATTTTCTAAGCATATATTTTTCTTTTTTCCCCAACCCCCAATCTCTTTCCAGGGCGTGATTGACTACATTTTCTATTCCAAGACTCATATGAACGTGCTTGGTGTCCTGGGGCCTTTAGATCCTCAATGGCTGGTTGAGAACAACATCACTGGGTGTCCACACCCTCACATCCCTTCAGACCACTTCTCACTGTTAACACAACTTGAACTCCACCCTCCACTCCTGCCTCTTGTTAATGGTGTTCACTTGCCTAATCGGAGGTAGTGGAGTACTGCCCCGCAAAGACGGGGATCTGTTGCTATGGACCTGTACAGTTGTAAATCAAAGTATGTAGGAGTGAAGTATGGCCATTCTTAAGCTGCTTCTTCAGGTTTCTTTCATTATGTGTTTGCTATGAAATTCTGTACATTTTTGTGCATATTGGTATCATTTGGCACTAGGGCTGGAACCAAAGTATTATTCTCTTTCCAGATTTTTAGTTTAATGTGTTTTTAAATTGGACTTCATAGGAGTCAGCATTCATAATTCATAAATCAACGTTTCGAGGCCCAACAACAGTGTATTTGTTTTTCCAAAACAAATGCTTTCTTTTGAATGGTTTCAAATGAGCCAACCGTTTTTGTAAAAGGCAATTTTTAAAAACTATAAGATTTTAAAGTGAATGATGGCATGCCTTGCAGGGGAAACTTTCTTGAATTTCTGTTTTCCATTATAACAAACTGATTTTTGGCTCCCCAAGTCACTTGCACATTAATAAAGCACTTAAATTTGCCAGATCTGTACATAAACTATGATATAGCCTTTAGCCGTAATAAGAAAAATTAAGAAATTAAAGATGGTTGCACAATATGCTTTCAAAATCAAGCATTTAACAGTACATGACAGTTTGTTGGGCAAATGCTGGTTGTTGTTTTTGAGGAATCACTCTGTATTTTGTTCCACCATTAGTTATAACCTTATTAGAAGTATAAATTCTAAGCCTGTCTCTCCAGTTTATGTATAGGGAAATAGTGGGTAATTTCAACTACCACACATCTTGAAAATAGAATTTTGTATATTTAGGATGCCCACAAATTAGTGTCCAGTATTTTTCTTTATTCGCATCTACACTATTCTGCCCGATTGTGCTGGAAAAACAAATATTATATGATCTGTATAATTTTTGCTCTTATAGTCAAATGTTAAAAAATAACTACTGAATGAAAAGGCCCTGATCAAAATTTTAGAAGGAGAAGGCTATACAAATATTTCGTGTTTCCCAAAGTAGGTCAAGTGGCTGTTGGTTTTGGCTTTTGGAGGTGACAATGGAAAGAATTTGGAGGAGAGAGAACAGGGAGTAGTTGAAAACCTTGGATCATTTTTCCTGGCTCTAGTTGCCAAATGGCCATTATATGCTTTTAATCTTTGTTTCCGTTGTCTGTCAGGGTTGAATTAAGAAGCTACTGGTTTATTCCCAACTGTTGATGCTCTTTAGATATGTTGGAATCCTTTTTTTGCCCAGGAGGGGCCAGTTGAAAATCTGTGACTCAAGAGGCAGTGAACGTAATATCGTTTTCTAGGGGAAAAATTGGTTGGCTACTTGATGTTAATTATGGCACAGGAACAGGAAAAGGTTGTGTCTGTGTTTTTAAGTTTTTCTTTATTCTGCTTTTTTGCTGCTATAAGAGTTTTCTGAAATTTATATTTTAAACTTTTCATGCACTTTACTGTTTCTAGTCTCAAAATGTGATATTTTTAATAAACAAATTTTCCATTATGTGAATGAAATTTTAAAAGAAAATAGCCTATATTTGTGTCTCACTAATATATAAAGTACAGGTCAAATTTAAATTATTTAATTAGTTTTAAACATATACAATTCGTCTCTTCTTTCAAACCTGACATCTTAGGCTGTTTTATTAGTCTTAAATGATGCGTTTTCTTTGGTCATTTTATACTAATTTCTCCCATAGTAAATTAATCAGGCTATATAAGATAATATTTCCCCTGAAGGGTAATTTTAGTGGGACAAGAGTGGTGGGATGATGTAATATCATATATGAGATTGCATCAGAAGGATTCTATAAAGCCTAAACTCCCTTTTAAAAGTGCCTAGTGATAGAGGCGTTGTTTGTCATCTATTATAATTGGAATGTCATTGTAGTTGAGTGAAGTTTAATGTAAATAAAATATTATTTTAAAAATGTTAAAAGTATCAGAATAAACAAAGAGACAACCCTTAAGATGACAGATTTTCCTCAATGTGCAGGTATCCCTTCTTATATACCTCAAGCATTCAACATCTAGCCATGCAAACTGATTACCTGAAGCATAGTACTGGAAAGTAGAATAGCATGAAAAACTTAATTTTGTGGACATTACCTTTTTTTGTAATCAGCTACTGTATGTTTTATTTTAAATCTTTTGTTTTGGGTGGGTTTTCTGCTCTGGAGGTATATGCACTAACAAAACATTTTCCTCCTTTCATATACGCATGTTAATTAGCAATGTGAGCAATATTTCCTACCATACTTCACTCCCAATATTTTTTGAGATGTTTGTATAAAATGGAATTTAAAGTTCACTTATGATTGTATATGAACCACAGAGAAGCCCATTTATTAATAAAAAACTTTTTTAATAGTTAAATGTAGAGGGAAAAAAATAAAAAAAAAATTGGGAAACATTGTAAACAGCTTAAGTTTATTTTGTGTATGATCGAGGCACTCTGTTGCAGGAAGGTGTGTAATTGGGTTCTCTCTGCTTCCAAATGCACTCTTTCAGACCATTCATTATCCTGTGTATTTTTAATGTGGTTTTAGTAAATGTTGGTATTAGCGCTGTTGAAGTAGGTAATTGTGTTATGTTTTGGGTGGCACACACACTTGGGGCATGGTAACCCAAATTTCATGTGCACGGTTTCCCTTTAGCCCACTGCCCAAATTTCACACATCCTTCACCCTTTGTTCCCTTTGTAAAAGGAGTAGTATCTGTTTTGAGCTGCCAATTCAGATGATCAGAAATGCTGCTCTCCTCAGTATTGTCTTGTTAAAACGCATGTCATTTTGAAGTTTGGCAGTGAGAAGCCAAAAGGAAGAGGTGAATGACATATGGTGTATGTTCAATGAAAGTAAAATATTTATGCTCATATACTTTCTAGTTCTCAGAATAAGTTAAATAAGCTTTATGCCAAGGGGCTGCTGCATATTTTATCTGAAGATAAAAGAAAATTTGGGCATTTTTAGATTGTGATAATATGGTTTTTTTTTAACTGTTAAATATGATTTCTGATATTTGTCTAAGAACTGGAGTGTTCTTTAAATTTATTAAAACAGTGTTGTTTGAGGAAGAGAAAACTGCACTGTTTGCTATTACAAGAGTCATACAAGTGCATGTCAAGTCACCCACTCTCTCAGGCATCAGTATCCGCCTCATAGCTTTACACATTTTGATGGGGAATATTGCAGCATCCTCAGGACTGACATCTGGGAAAGGCTCAAATCCACTTACTGCTCCTTGCTTGTTGACTTTGTTTTAAAATATTGTGCCTGGTGTCAACTTTTAAGCAACAGCACTGCCTAAAAGCAAGCAGAGAACAGAATCCCAGCACCATTCTATAGGCAACTTTTTAGAATTCAGATATAGTAAATCTGTTCAAGATTTATGATGTTTTATGTAAAAAAAAAAAAATTTTGTACAACGTAGCTGAATATTTTTGTTTCATTTCTTTGATGTAAGGCGTGTGAACGTTCGTTTGAATATCACATGTTAAAGTCAGGTATGGCACAATGGGTTCTGAGACCAGCTTTTCCTCCCTCCCATTTGCCTTGTTTCAAGCTCTTTCTTTTCAAATTACTTTGCTGATATTCATAGGCAAATATTTAATTTTACTAATAAGCATCCTGTGTGAATGTATTAAAGAAGCCACTGTGTTTTAGTGTTGTAGTTTGCAGAAATATAAAGCTTCATTTCTTATTTGTCCTTATTCCTTGGTGTTTTTAAGTTCTGTATTAAATCACAGAGTAGCAAGGGAGAAAGTTGAAAGATATCTAAGGCTCATATCACTTGATTCTATGGTGGGTTATATTAGAATTGAGGATGTGGCACATTAAAACTGGAACATGGGTAAACATATTGTGTTCCATTTTAAAATTGTATCTCCTAAGCATATATTGTTAAATGGGTGAAAAATTAAGTTTGTATTTGCTTTTCCAGGAGTTTCTAAAAGTCACTAATGCCATCTCTAGTTTCAAATCAAATAGCAAGGAGTTGAGAAAGCACACTTAACTTATTTGTTTCTAAGGTCTTATATTCTGAGTTTCTGAGGGATTTTAATAGCTCTGCAAAATGTACTGACTGATCAGTAGCTTCGGTCACTGAAAACATCATCAGTTTCTGACACATTTGGCTTACTAATGGTTTTATAGCAAGCAAAGACTTTTTTGGCATGTTTTCAAAATAGCACTCATATATACTTATATTTTGACAGAAATGTGAATTCTCACATTTGTAAGGTATTCTCTTTCTCTCCCACCTGCCCTCACCTTTAAAAAAAAAAAAAAGTCACCTTTCTAATATGTAGATTTGTTTAAGTTTTTTCTTCTGAATTGTATCATGTTTGTAGAACTCGGTGAATTATAGGTAGACAAATTAGGGAAATTAGAATATTTTTCTAAGCCAGGAACTTCAGCTATGGTTTTGAATTTGTAGACAGATGAGAACTTTTATACTTGTGGTGGCTTTGGGTGATTTTAATTTTCTAACAGCATCTTGATCACCAAATTTGAGTTCAAACATAACTAAATTAGTACATCTTTAACCTGGCATATTTACCAAAGTTGTAATCTGTTTAAGAACAAGATGCCACAAGCATCTCTCATTTTACAGAATTACAAGCAAATCTTTATTGTGTAAGTGTCACCCTAAAGCTTAAGAGTAAAAAGAAAAAAGAAAGCCTTTATATCAATACTTCAGGGTGATCTGAACAGGATCCTCAGAAAGAAAGGAAAAAAAAAACAGTTTTCAGGAAGGTGATAAGGGAGAGCATGCATGTTTCTTGTTTTAACCAAATACCTTCTTTATGTAAGTTTCTCTGTTAAATCACAAGTCCTACAGCAAGAAATATAGAGATACCAGGAAAAGCAAGCTTTATTAACCTAGTTAGTTATTTCTTTTGGCATAAGTTAGTTTGGTTAGACTTGGGTTATTCTTGGAACCAAACGAAAACAAGCATGTTGAGGTTTTAGTCAATAAACATTATGACATCTAACTAATGGAATGTTTTTAAGTAAAATAGCTTTCACTTTCAAAGCCTATGAAATGAGGACATTTCTGCCTATTAAATGTTAACTTTTTATGGCACATAGCATAAACTCAGTAGCATCGTACTGAAATTAGAAGTTGTGTCGTCAGAAATCACGTTATGAAAAGGGTATACAAATGCCAAGTGATATGACTCTTTTGGCACAGTAGCATGGGGTACATTCAGCTTTCAGAAACTTTCAGAAGGCATAGTTTGGCGCCTATTAGTAGTTATTTTTGTTATAACAATCTCCCTGAATTTAGATAACTTTTCTGTTTGTATGTCTGTCACTTTTAACTCGAAAGCATAAGAGTCAAAGTAGCCCTCTCAGAAGTGGTCCTTTCTTGCTCATTTCAGTTTTGTGTTTATTTCTAATTACTGAGATATGACTGTATTTTCTTTCAAGCTTTCAATGGTTATATGTACCACATTTGTTTAATTGGTTATCTTAACACAATTGGCTTAGCATTGATATGTCAAACAATTGCTTTGCTTCTTATGAACAGGCTTAGTTTCCTGCTACTTGTTTCAATCTTGATGCAGTAAGTGATGCAGTAGTCTGGGTGTGTATTTATTCAGAAACTGTACTGTCCTTTCTCTGTGCTTAACTTGCTAAAAATATATTTCCTTACCTGTGAAATTCCTGAGCGGTGCTCTGCCAACTTTTGAGGGGGAGGAGTTTGGATGGCTGTGTTACTGCACACTGGATCTGGAATTGTTCAGTGTTGTGAGTGGCAAATTTCTTAAACACCAGCAGCACTGAGAAGTGCACTATGGGCATTCATACAGTTGTCCAAATGCAAGCAATTCTTTCGTCTAGGAGAAACAGGAATAGAATTCGTTGGAGTACTTGGAATATTTCAAGGAGGATGAACATTTCAGCTTTGGTTTTTGTTGTCTCTGGAGTCAGGTGGTATGGAGGGAGTTTTTTTTTTTTTTTTTTAAGAGAGTGTGAATGTACTTTTTCTCTCTGAAAGGGCCAGGGTGTTGGTCAGATTCACCATGGATTAATTTATATCTTCTGTTGTGATTTCTTTCAACCATAAAACAAGTGCCAACTAATTGTCCGTGAGACGATCTACTCTTCCACTCAGTTTAACCATTTGAATAGGAGAGGGTTCATTTATTTTCATTACTTGGCGTTAAATTAATCATTCATTGTTTTGCATACATTTGAGTTATTCTGTGGCCTATGAAGTGTTTTTGTAACTAATTTAATGGTTGGAAAGCAAAGCACATGAGTTTAAATCTGAGCAAGATGTTTTGGTAATTTTTTCCCTGAATACTTGGTAGTTTCTATTGATACTATTCCAAAACAAATTCTACTGTTTTAGATTGTATATTTACTTTGCTTTTGTCCTAAGAAAAAGCCAAGCTCTAAATCAATTTGTTATTGTGTTCTAATAATCAGTTTAAAATCTAAGATTTTCTTTTTTTTTTTAATATTAGAAGGTTTAATGAAGTGCCATGTAATTATAGCTTACCTAGTGTTTAATGTTTAATAGACTGGTTCTGTGGTGTTCTAATCATTTAACACTCTGTCATCCCTGGAGAAAGTGGTTCTACTCTTACTGAACACATTCTCTCTGACAAAATCACCAGCTGCTTTATTTTTCTATTTATTACAGTTAAACAGTTGATGAGGTCTGAACCTTGACCAAACTGCTCAGCTGAGATGTTTTTCACTATAGACACTGTACAAAATGTGCGTGCAAAAGGACACAGTTGGGTGGTAGTATTTTTTCATTAATGTGAACATTGACTAAACAAAGCAGTCCTGCCTTTTAAATCTTGTGGCAGCTCAGAAGGGAGGTGCTTAAGAACCTTAACTACTATGTCAGATGACAAAATACTTTTTCCATTTTGGAGATTGGGTACTGCTCACACATGATGTATAGGGCTAAATATATGCTTGTTTCCTTGCACCTGTGTACTTCCCCTTCTCTCCCTCCCTTTCCTTCCCCTGTAGGCAATAAATGGCCATTTTGCAACTGCATACCTTTGTCTTGGTTTTTTACTCCTTATGTTTGCAGTATAAGTGTCTGCTTTTAGGTCAGTACATCTCTTGTATAGGGAAGTAGGGAGCCAAGATAATTCAGGCAAAAAATTACAAATTCATGCTATATTTTTTCATCTGGTAAAAACTACATTACTGTTTAAACAATACTTTGTTTAGAATAGATTTGGAAGTTAGTCATAGTTATGAGACTTGCTTTGGCTGAAGAAATCTGAGCAGAGGGACATGTGTCACTTCTGAGTAGGGCTTTAGGAGCCAGTGTGCATTTTGCCATATTCCTTTTTCTTGCCTTGGTGATTATGGAAGCATGTTTTGAGATCATACCTCTCATCTTAGATCCTTGAGGAACGTTGATGAACAGAGATCCCCTGCTGTCTTACAAAGGACATGTAATGTGAGTGAGAAGCAACCGCCAAATCTCAGTGTCTTAATACAATGAAAGTTTGTTATTAAGGTATAATCTAGCTCATCCTGACTGATAAACAGCCATCAAACAGATCTGCTGAGTTCCCAGTATTGACCAATCTCAACAGGTGGACTTGCCAAGACCTAGAGTAAATTCATTCAGCAAATATTCAAGTATCTGCTATGAACAGGGTGTTTTGGAGGATATTTAGATGGATAGGCTCTCCATCCTCCAAGAATTCACATTCCAAACTGTCAGAATTCTATTTATGACAGGAGAAAATGCAGAAGTGTTTTAGAGTAAAGATATCTTAAATCTTAGGATCTTGGAAGGGGAGAGGGAAAGGGCACATAGTGAAATAATTAGGAATTCTGAAAACTATGGTTAGGGACATTCAGTTGAAAAATGATTTTAAGATGGTGTGATTGAGACCAGATTATTCTTGAAGAGAGTGAAACACAATAAAAAACTGAGCTGTCCAGCTTAATGAATGCTTAGGGAAGAGAAAGGCAGATTATTTTGAAACAGATTGCTAATATCAACAAATTTCTAGGCTGAAAGCTCAGTGCCTACTGAGTTGTCCTTTCTACCAAGGATCCAATGTGAGCCTGTCACTGACCCCGAGGACTTGCTCTTTACAGAGGCCTTGATGTTGGCTAGCCTTTAGGAAGTCTACCAAAAGTAGAATTACCCTGGAGTGGATGTTGAAGGGACCAGGTTTTAGGATACTGCCTTATTAAGAAACATTCCTAGAATAGGACAATCAAGACATTTACCAAGTGTCCTTGCATTCCACCATGTGGCTTTGGACAAAATACATTCTCATTGGTAAAATGAATTTAAGAAACTAAATCTCATGAAATGGTTCTCTTAAAAAGCAGGCACCAAGACAAGGGCTTGCATGCAGGTAGTTTATTTGGAGAAGTGATCCTAAGAAAGGGTAGGACTCTAGAAAAAATGAAATAAGGAAGGAGGGGAAGCCAAGTCAAGAGTGCATTGTTGAGCTGATCACCTCTGTGGGCAACTGGGGTATAAACCTGCTGAGTTTATACTTATGACTCTCTGAGGAGCTGAATAGAATGCATCTCAAAATTGTCTTCATGAGAGATGAGAGAGGAAAGAATTTATTTACAGGCTCCCATCTCCCATGAGGCCAGGGTTACTCCATGGGCGTTAATTCCTTTTCCTATCCATTTTTGTGCATTTATCAATTCAGTAGCAGATTCCTGCAGATATCCGATACAATAATAGTGGATAAACGGGGTAGTGGTGGGGTGTAGAAAGCAAGAAACATTTGGTGAGGCAAAGTGCTGTTAAATTACACTTGTGTGCAACTGGTTGCCACGCAATGGTGAGAGTAAGGAAGTGAGCTGAGAGGGTGTGAGGCAGAGCACAAGAGGAGTCTGACACAGTGTACCCCTTGTATCACTAAGACCTGTTTGGACCCACTGTTAGATCCATTTCGTCAGGGCCTTTTAGGTCATAACAGGCTATAATCTCAACAAAATATGGAGGAACAGTGGAACAAGGTACAGTCCACTGCTGCAACTGGTTCTG